ACATGCATCACATGCATCACTAGAACTGTTTTTGAAATTTTATTACGAAGATCAATAAGGGCTAGTAATACTATTAAAATAAGGAGCATAAGACGACAGACATGCTCATTCTCAAAGAATGCTAGATCCGCATTAATAGGCACACATATTCCTATGAAACATTATTATTTACACCTCCAATTAAATATATGCAATTAGATAACTTTATGTTATATATGTCGCATTATATTAAGAACATTTTTGGTTATAATTTGGTATACGATTTTCTTTGGGCTCGATTAATTCGAATTCGCTTAGAGAAAATTCCACTTTGGGAGTAAAATGTTTGGCAAATTCGTATTTAGAGTTTGAATCCAAAATTTTTAATTAAAGATAAAAAAATACTTATCACTCCATTACAAAATTTAACAGTTGCATCATATTAAAAATTAGTGTAATAGAAAAGGAAAATAAAAACTTGTTCTGAGGGTTGACTTCATAGGATGGTGTGCGTGCTGCAGTGAACCTTTTCGGAGCAAGATCACTACTTTTACCAATAAGATATTTATTTATTGGTTAAAATAGGGATTACCGTACTTTTTTTGTATACATAATCTCCTTATTATGCCTTAGAATATACTTTTAATTTATTACAATATTTATAAAACAAAATGAAGATTATAAAAAAAAATGAAAAAGGAAAGGCAAAGAAAAATAATAAGAAATAAAGAATATTGAAAAAGATTTAAGAAAAAAGAGAACAATGGTACCTGTGTCATTTTTCCTAGTTAAGTAATGTTAATTCAGAAAGAAAAGCTAATTTAATCAATAACCTTGAGAGGGTTATATAAATATTTTGAAAGGTTTTGGGAGTTATGTTACCCATAAAAGGGAAAACTAAAGAGGAAATACTGTTTGCAACAAGATATTGGTTATTGGTCGTTAATTTAAAGAATTTGCACATGTTTTCTTTAATATCATTTAATTTAGACCTTGGAATAGCAATTATGGACTATACAAAGAAGACTTAAGATTTCTAAAATTTATAAATTTTTTCATACTATCCTTAAAATACAAGAAGTAATTGTGATTGATCTTGATATTGATAATTCCTTTTGCTTTTTTTAAAAAGCTAATTAACTTCACGAGGAGTTCCCAAAGAAAAAAAAAGGGGTTTCACGAGGAGCTGCTAGGTCTTGAGAGATTTTACTTTTGAGCAGTTAACCGGCTTTTTATTGAAAAAAGAAGCTCACATTTCGTTATTCAATGTTTTTTTTAATGGGAATATTATGTTTAATTTAAATAATCTTTGACTATTTAGGTTATCTTCTAATTAGGAATTTTCTTCTTTTATTTATTGTGGCACTATATTATTCAGACTTTTCATGCAGTATATATACTACTCCCTCCGGTCCAAAATAAGTGATTTTTTGGTCTTTTTCTTGTGGTCCAAAATAAGTGATTTTTCCAGATTTCAAGGATGAATTAATTATTTTTTTCCTACATTGTCCTTGAAGTAAATAGTGTTGGAATATGTGTTAGGAGTGTTTATGTGAGATAGTAAAGGTTAATATGGTCAATTCCATTAGTAATTAATGCTAAAAGATGGATTTCTTAATCTGTGTGAAAACATCCAAAAAATCACTTATTTTGGATCGGAGGGAGTAGTTGATAGACCAAACTTCCAATTGCATCCACCAATTTCTCCAATATTGAAAACCTAAAACAAATTTTGTAATTGTTGTAGTCGTCACTCGTCACAACAAATTAAAGGGTGACATCTTTGTGGCACCACGAGTCACATATCATTTGCTTTTATAATGATGTTTAGTTAAAAGGAATCCATTAGGGCCAACTATTTTCCAGCATTTTTGCATCACTAGACTCAAGAAGCTCGTGATAATGAATACAATACCCTGTAATTGTTTTTTCTCTTTTCGGCTTCACACACGAGGTTCTATGATTGTATTGGGCCCTTGATTAATCTCGATTCGAATTGAGTAAAATCTAATTAAAAAGGAAAATATTCTCTACAAGAATCTGTTCCTTCTCAAAACTCAAATTCGAGATATCTAATTAAATATAAAAAAATTATATGATGAAAACAAGTAACCCTAATATTTTATGGCTTTTTTTCTTTCTTCCAAAAGCTTCAATCACAGCTCCAAAATACCACGCCAACAGACGTCGGAAGAATGCAATATATAGCTGTCGATCATTAAGTTATTTTTTCTTTCTTTGTAATGCATAGAAGGAATTTCAAATAATTCTTGAAATTTGATGATTTTGTATGTGCTGTTTCAGTTTTGAATCTACAAAGTGAGAAGAATATGCTTACCGTATGCAAAATTACAGAAAAGAAAAATAAAAAATTTCTGAAGCAAATTTTACTAATTTGGGTTAACATATCCTGGAAGTCGCATCGATCTTAAGTTTTTGGCACATCATGAATTGGATATTTATTATTTATTTGGTTCACATAGGTTTCCCTTCAACTATACGTACTGAGTTCACATACGTTTTCATTCAACTACATTGACTATTAATTTCTATTTCTACTTGCATATATATACCTAACAGCTTTGCTGATATACTGCCTTTGTGAAATAAGAAAGATCTTAAGTCCACTAGGAATAGTCTAGGATTAATAATCACTCTGAGAGTCGCACAAGTTTAATTATATTATTTTGGAGGTCTAGCTAGATTTTTGGCGTTTTGCAACCTAAATAACCTTTTGTTATTTCTTTAAATCACTATTCGAATAGGATTTCCCCCTTTAACAATTGACTATTCCCTTGATCTTTCTACTCGTATCATGTAGTCTAGTAATTTAGTTTTTGAGATTCATCATTAATAAGCTTAATGCAAAATGCTATTTCGTCTTTATAACTAGCTGAGTCGTTCCAACTATTTTAAACATGCAGCCAACTACGACACTGATTAATTATATGACTATGTCAAGAATTACGTCATGTATCTGTTCAAGTCTTGATGGATAGAGTTATTTGATACTTGAGTAGATGAAAGCTAGCATATATCCAATAAAATAACCGAAGTGCGCGTAATCTGGCTCGGGCACAACCGATATTAAAGAAGACTTAAGCCATGTAATATACTCCATATATAGAGCTAAGGTGGGTATGTAGGTCCAAGCATAGGGTAGGAACAAAGCCCGTGATTCCCGACGCAAAGGAAGCTGCAAACATGCAAAAACAAATTAATCCTTTTCCTTTCTTTAAGAGTAGTTATACAGATCAACATCACATACAGCAAGGCATCATACACTTAATGTGTCAGCACAACCGAAAAAATATAAATCATTTCCTATATTATACTAAATCACATTAGTATACTATCGCTTAAGTAATAAATTGAGGTGGTATATATGTACTACTTATATACTATTTATTAATAATGGTAATTAAGCAGTAAAAGTGTATTGAAAAGCATATATTTTTCATTCATTAGTTTGATTTAAACATCGAATATGAAGATAAGTATTTTGACTAATAGCAACTCATGTTTGTTATGCTCACTTGGCTAAAATTTTTAGTCCAAACCAAGATAATTGCTCTTCAAATACTCTTCTTTATACCATTATTTTGCACTTAAATTTTCTTTGATATATCACGTTATGTTAAGATGAATTCTGGGCCATGTTTGATAAAAAATTAATTTTGTCCAGTGGAAGGACAATTAAGTCGCTCAAGAATTAAATAAACTGGATAGATCAAATGGGACAAATCGAACAATGGAAAATTTTCCATCTTTCCAATGTGAAAGAGCAGGGAAATTTTGAAACCGATATAAGCTGCTAAGTTTATATTGGAATCTTTTGGTATTGATGGTATTAAAAAATGGGAGAATTTCAATCTTCATTGATCAGTGTGGTCCCAAGACTTCATTTCTATAAAACAAGAGAAACCAAAATGTATTTTTGACTTACCGAGACTCAGTCCATAAACAAGACTATTTTAAGTCTCATAGGCCTTTGTATTCCCGTTGAAATTGGTAGAAATAGGTATGTTTTTCAATGTGTTGAAGGCTTGAAGCAGTCCACACAATGTTTTTTAATAACCGTGGCGCTCGGGCAAGCTTGCACGTACCTCAACTAATTTTAGAGGATACATGTTATCTCCCATCATTACAGGTGTCGAGTAATTACTCCGTCCACCAAAATTTGAATAGATGAAAAGAAATCGCCTAATATCTTTGCCCGCTAAAAGCAGTCCACAATTTACTGAATTATTTAACAATACGATGATAATATATATATATATATATATCAAAATTCTTCATGATAGCTATGTAATACCTCTCCCTCTTATTTTTGTATGATAATGTTTGGTTGCGCACAGAACTTAATATAATAATTTAACTTATATATTATAGTAGTGGCAGTGTGAAAAAATATTGAGTTATTGAAAAAATAGTTTGACAGAAACAACATCAGCTAAATGAATTGAGTTCTTGAAAATTAATAAAATGATCTCAAATATTTTAGAATGTCTCAAAAGAAAAAGAACGTTATAACGAATTAAGATATATGGAGTATATTATTAAGGAAAAATGACACTGTATAGCCGTTGTCAAAATAATAGCCGAAAAAATATATATTTCTGTATATATATACACATTCTGTATGTTATATAAAAAAATTACACAAATTTTATACACTTTTTTCGGCTATCAAATATAAATAGTTTCTGGCGCGGCCTAAAAGTGATAATACCCCTTATTTATTTTATTTTGAAGAGAAAAAAATAAGAAACCTTTTCTTTCCTTTTTTTAATTTAAAAAAAGGCAATTTTCGTGACATGCTGCTTTCCTACAGATGCTTTACAACTTAGAGCTGGCCTCACATGACGTAAATTTTGCCTTAGTTATAAGATTTATAGTGTTCATTATCATGTGCATCATCCATGAAATCATGCATGCATGGATACATATAATAATTAATAAAGAGTTAGATAAATAATTGCTTAGAGAGGGGGGGGGGGGGGTGTCTTCCATCTTATTTTACAAGTCTAGGGTTTGATTTTCCCATTTGTTCTACGTAAAACTGTAACTTCCATTTTCCTTTTCTGACATCAGTCTATGGAACATTTAACTTCTTAAATTTCATGTCCACTATCTCCTCAGATAGAAAGAAAATTTAGTTTAGAGCTATGCAGTTTGTAAGAAACCCTAATTCATCACAGGAGATGCTAAAAAATTTACTGTTTCCTTCTTCTCCTTTTTTGTAAATCATATTGCAAGAATCTCAAGTTTAAGAGAAACTTATAGTAAAATATGATGGGGGATAGTGGTGAGACTGGATGTAATTCAAAGACGAGCTCGAATTCAGGAAAATATGAGGATGATGAGGAGAACAATTCGAGCAAGTTTAAGGATGGAGGAAGCTCAAGCAATAGTACAGTTGAAGAGAGTGAAAAGAAACCCTTTGTGAGACCTTATGTACGATCCAAGATGCCTAGACTCCGATGGACACCTGATCTTCATCTTCGCTTCATTCATGCTGTGGAAAGACTTGGTGGACAAGATCGTAAGTTTTTACAACATTTTTGAGTTTGTAATAGCTAATTAATCTCTAATTCTGTATTCTTTCTAACAGTTTAAGCTTTTAGATGAGATGGTCGCACAGTTCAATATTAATGTTTTATTAGAGTATTTGGCCTTGTTTAACGATTCTTTTGCTTCTATTTTTGGTGCAGGAGCAACACCAAAGTTAGTTCTTCAAATGATGAACATAAAAGGACTCAACATTGCTCATGTCAAGAGCCATTTGCAGGTAAATTAGAGTTTCTATAATAAAACTCAAGATCTATAAGTTTTTGGTTCATTTAAATTTAGATGAGAAAGATAATGTTATCTCACTTAACATAATTGCTTAGGTTTCTCTGATTAACTTTTGATCTATTTGTGTCTCATAGATGTATAGAAGCAAGAAGATGGATGACCAAAGTCAAGGTATGTTTTTATAATATTTCTCACTTTGTTAGTTTCAAATTTTAGTTTTTTCTTGGTGGTAGTAAATTTTGACTGAGTTCTTTCCTATAGGAATTGCCCATCACAGGCTTTTTATGGAAGGTGGAGATCCAAATATCTACAACTTGAGCCAACTCCCTATGTTCCCTACTTTTCATCAGAGGCTCAATTCCACTCTTAGGTATGTAATGCATATGATTCCCATCTTTCCTGGTTTGATCACTTCCTCTTCATCTCTTAAGCATATCGAGAATTTAAATTTGATGAATTCGACGTTTAAGTTCTCATAATTAAGTTCAATGTACTTTTGCAATTATGTGTTCAGAACTTAGTATTTGTTAAAATTTCAGTGATTTAATTTTTCACACGTATATTTATATATGCACCGATTAAAAAATTACTAAATTCGACTGATATCAACCCTTTGAAACTGCATTTCATCCGCCTCTTTTATTTCCCTAAAGAACAAAAAAATAGGAAAAAAAATAATTCTTTGTTATAAACTCATTTTCCAGATATGAAGATGCTTCTTGGAATTGTCATGGTAATTGGACGATGGGGCAAGGCACACTAGACAGGAGCAGTCGAGGATTTCACACAACACTGACTGAGAGGATCTTTGGTAGCAACCATGGTAGGGAAGCAAATGAAGATTTATGTAAAAGGAATCCTTCTTTCATCAGTGAAAGATCCAATTTACAAAAACATGAAATTAAAGATAAAATGGTATTATCTCTTGAACATGAAAGTCATAGTGGTGAGCTCACTCCAATATTATCTCATATTGCTGCAAAAGCTCAAGCAAGAGCCATAAATCTTCAGAAGCAGACTCCATTGAAAAGAAAGGTTTCAGATTGTGATCTTGATCTGAACTTATCTCTAGGGGTAAAGCCAAGGAATGGAAGTGATAACCTATGTTGCACAGACTTTCCGAAAATGCTGCCGTACTCGTGTCCGATTCTCCAAAGAGACATTACTTTTGGAGGATCCAACACGCAGAGTCCGAGCAACAATGATGATAATGATAATGGGAGTAGCTTATCATTGTCATTGTCCTCACCATTGTCTTCTTCAAAGGTTACAAGGTTTAAAGAAGATGGTAACAGTAATGCTACAACAGAAAATGCAAGAAGAGGGGCAAGTACTCTGGATCTGACTCTATGAATGAGGACAGTATTCTAAGTGAGATCTTGAGGTACTTGTTTCATATTGTTGTTGACAATACCGTTTACCAGTTATATTATTATTACTACTATGTAGTACTGCTGGCTTTTGTTGTTTCTGTTATTATCAAATAAGTATATCTTAGCAAGAAACTTGAGTGTGTGAAATTTAGCACCAAGTTTAACCTCATGTGGGTTCATAATTTTTTTGTTGGATAACTGAGGCATCCGGCCAGTTTGTCCTCATCTCGACTAATATCACAGGGCATATTTTATCTCCCACCAGCACAGATAATATTTCTGTCAACCAAAGCTTACACAAATGAAAAAAAGTGTTTTTACCTTCATTGGTTATCATGTGATTCTTATACTTCATTGCATGGAGAGATAGATCGAATCGTGCCGATAGTTTCAGACATTATTGAAAAAGTTGAGATTTATATTTATGTGTGCTTTTCCAAATAACTAGGACTATTTTTCCCAAGAAATGACAAAATGAATGTGAGATGAGGATGACCCGACCTTGATATAAGGGAAAACTCATGGGTAATTGTGTTGGACTATTGTCTGAGACATACTATTAGGAGTGTGTAACAAAACCCTGTCCAAGATCTTACAAACTTAGTTATAAAAATCATAAAGAAAATTATCATATCATAGAGCAGTGGAGTTATGCGGTTGTCTCATATGGTTATTTAAAAGTTATTAAAAAGATTTATAAGATATTGTTTGCTACTCCATTCATTTTCCTAAATTAAGGTTTTTAGTTGGAACTCATGCAATTCTTTCCTATGATCTGAGTCTCAAACTTGTAAGTCCCTATTGAAGTTCACATGGGAACTATAATATTGTGTTACAAGTGTTTTTATATAGTTGTTATGCATGAGTTGTGTAGGGCTTTCAAGGGGATTTATGAGGCTCTTGTCTAGGGCCGGCTTTTGGGTAAAGCCTCTAAAGCCTCTAAAGCCCAAGCTTTAGGCCCTCAATTTTAGGGGGCCCATTTTTTAACCTATAATTTTTCTAAATTAAGTATCTTTACTCTTATTATATATTTTGGTTTAAAAAAACACATATTTTTGTTTCTTAAAAATGGGCTTCTAACATATAAATGCAAAATTTATGGAAGAAATCAAGTGATTATTCTTTTTTTTTTTAGTCTTTTTCTCATTAAATATTATGTAAACCTTTTCCACTTCCTTTCTTGGTTTGCACAATATTCAATTTCCTTTTCTTAATCTTTCTCAGTTCTCACCAAATGTTACTATTATTATATTTTTCTTTGTGCCTCCAAGAGATCATATTATTCTGTATTTTTCGTCAATCAGGCAAAAGCCTACACGAAATATATTGAAAGCAACAAATATTTATTTTCACATCAAATTAATGAATCAGGTTCTTCTATTCCAACTTTTTAGTACTAGTTTCATCTACGTTTATTTTTCTTGATATTTTCAATACGTACGCATATATTATCTTTTTAGTATTTATTAAAGTTTAAATATGCCAAATATAAAGTATGAATTCGGTTATTCAAAACTTAAGAGAAAAAAAAAGTTGAATCTTTGATACAATCCAGAAAAGAAAAAGAAATGATAGTACTCTAATTGATATACTCAATCCAATAAAAAGACTTGATTCTTTTTCAAATACTTATATTGCATATAGAATAATGGTAATAGTTCCTGTAACAGTTGTCTCGGGTCGTCCTCGATCACAAACTAGAAATTTGAAAGAAGATTTTTAAATTAAAATTGATAAAATCTTACTGAAAATCAACCACGGCGCAAGAGATTTAATGGATTAACTATATTATAAATTGAAAAATAACTATTAGAAGAAACTGGTTATAAAATAAATATTCATAATTTTGCATCTGAAAAATCTAGAAAATTATATTTCAATATATAT